ATCGGCTGCTCGATCCAAAATCGTGTTTCAGAGTTGAGGATGATTCTGTTCGGCGAGTGTCGCTGAGAAAAGATAGAGACCAGTGGCGTGGTGTGCTTTGCGATGTATCGATTGATCTGTCATTTAAACCAATGGAAAAGGATCGATAGACAGATGTATAATCGATTCTTTACCATTGCTTCAAATGGAGAGATGTCGATAGTCGATCATTCACGCCACGCCACTGATAGAGACTGATCGTAGAGAGGGGGAGGGGTGCGAAAGAAATCTTAAGCGCCAACGTATTTCAATGAACTGATTTTATTTGATCAGAAGCTGATTAGGCTGTCTGAATTTCAAATGTTCAAAATATTAAAGGACCACTAAACCTTAAACGTTCGAAATTGCGGCCATGATCTTTTTTACATTATAACCATTGAATGCAATCGAAAATATCTAACACAATTATGTAGTCATTAAATTGGCGTACTCATATATCTGAGGTTATCTTTTATTTTTTGGGTTTTATTTTAAATTTATTATTTTTATTTTGTTTTAGTCTTCATTGCCATTACGGATTTGCCGCTTTTATTTTCGAGGGGTAAAAGGTAAAATTGGAATAGGAATATTAAATTTTCGGCGTTCTTCTTCAAATCAAGGAAAAAACTTTGAGAGGTACTTTCCAGTTTTCAGTTTTCGACTTGAGAATTTAAAATGACAAGGGCCAAAAAAAAATCGGCGGAAACTGCGAGTCAATCCGATCCCCTTGCCAAATGTTATCCGCCCAAAGTTTATCTGGGGGATCTGCACCTTTATTTCATAAGCCCTTGTCCCACGATCAAATGAACTCATCAAATAGTCATCAAATGCAAGATGGCGACTGGTTTTCGCGCAAGTCTGCTGTATCAAAAATTAGCGGGCCGTCAATGTTGATGAACCCGCCATCTTGCATTTGATGAGTTCATTTGATCGTGAGACGAGGACTTTAGAGTAGGTTCGACGACCCATGGATAGACCGTTTCTCTTTTTAGAAAGTCCTTAGAAACTCCACATGTGACACTTGAATCTTAATTTGCCCCCACGTGTGGGAGCCACCACGGTCCCCACCGGGGAGGGGGAGGAGTCTAATTCAATAAATTTCATTAAAATACGAAGAATCCGAAAGAGCTCCGATCTCCGAGCTACGGAATTAGCATCGAGTCCGAGTGCATCTTCTTGAAAATGTAATCGCGGAAGCGGCCTGTAAATTGACGGAGAGGTTGTATTGCTCTCAACCCCCTGTCCCCCTTTTTTTCGTTTCAGAGCGGGGGGAAATCAGGAAATTCACCTTAAATGGTGCCCGAAAATCTGCCACACTTGACGAGGGACCCTTAAGAAACACGACTAGTTATTAGAATACCAGAAATACATGACGACAGCTCACTTTGGGGCCAAAAGTATCCATAAAACCCCCGTTGCCCCCCTAAATTGCACTTTTGAGGGTCAAGGTGTTGTAGTCTTTTTCCGTTGTTCGAGAATCGACGAGGACTTCCACAGGATAGTGATACGGCATTTTCGCAAATGAATTGATGAACGTCCGTGCCGATTCTTTCATTGAAAATGTCGTCCTTTGCCACGGGCCCCTCATTTTCCACGTTGACAAAGGAGAGACCCGGTAGCAATCGACTTAATTTATGCCGCCTGCAAGTAATGTCCAACTTGACGAGGACCCTTGAAAAGTTGTGACCTGTCGGAGGACCACAATCCATGGGACTGCCGCCCACTTTATAGAGACAAAATCATCTATAAAACCGTCGCTGCGCCTCTGAATTCCCCTCGTGATTCTTTACAAATTCAAGGTTTTGTAGTCTTATTCCATTGCTCAGAGAATCTACGAGGACTGGTCCATCTCCTTAGAGTGGACGGCAGTCCAGGGATTGTGGTTCTTCGACTAGTCGACTCCGACTTATCATGGGTCATCTTCAAGTTGGACATTACTTTAGTCCTTTTCTCTCAGGTCTCACCTTTGTCGGCGTAGAAAATAGGGAAAAGAAATGAGATTTTTTAGGTAAAAATAGGCGCGAACAATCCTTAGTTCATTTACGAAAGAGCCGTATCCGGCGAAAACCCTCGTTGATTTTCAGAGCAACGGAATAAAGACTACCAAACATTGAATTTGTTAAGAATCAAGAGTGAAATTTATGGGGGCAGCGTGGGTTTTATGGATGATTTCGTCCCTAAGTGGGTGGCAGTCCAGGGATTGCAGTCCTCCGACTAGTCACAACTTTTCAAGGGTCTTTCTTCAAGTTTGACTTTACTTTCGGGCATCATTTCAGTCCTTTTCTCCCGGGTCTCTCCTTTGTCGGCGTAGAAAACAAGGGGAGATAGGTAGGGTGTCACTTATTTTTGAAATTTGAGGAAAGGTAATAAAATAAGGAACGTTTTTTAAAAAAAAAAATGTTTTACGACCTCTCAAGCGCCTTAAAGGGCGCACGTGTCAAAATTGGTATCTTGACAAAATCAGTGTCGTTTCACTACAGACATCATCCAAATTGCGGTGCTTTAGTAAAATAATTTCCGTTTGGTCGTATCCGTAGCCGGAAAGTCGGCCAGTTGAGTCTGGCCGAAAGAACGACCAGTTGAGGCGCGGTAACCACCCTCCGACGCGCCTCTTAGACCCTGCAGTGAACTCGAGCCTCTTGCTGCCGACATAGGGTTGCGAATAATTCATCCCAGCTGGAAATTAACCCAACCTAACTCTTTGGACCAAAATTATGGTCATTTCATCGGATCTCTGAGGCTTTGGCCGTAAACTACCATTTTCAGGGGAAAGGTAAATCTGCTTACCGGGCGCGTCTGTGGGTTCGGCTCCTTTTAGCATTGTCGACCCAATTTCGCCGGCTATTCCTGAAACTTACATCTTTTTTTCTCATACAGACAACTTGACACATGTGTCTACACCTCTTGTTTTCGCTTTTTTAACGAAAGGATTAGTCTTCTTGAGGGAAAATATCCAAAACCATCGTTGAAGAGTTGCTTACAACCGTTCAGGACACTTTGTAGCCAGAGCTTTCATGTTTCGATCTCATTCTTGTCTTCAATCCTCTTTTTGGACTAGAGAGTTGGGATCATGGTTTTTTTTTTAAATTTTACGATTACGAACCAAAGGCGCCCTTTAGGGCGCTTGAGAGATCGATAAAAAATTTTTTTAATTTTTTGGAGAAAATTTTCCTTATTTTTTACACCTCATAGCACGTTTTGAGACCTGGGGAGCTTAAATTTTCTCAAATTTCAAAAATAAGGGACAATGAGGCTGAAATGGGTGGAAATAGGGGGGGACGGCCCTCCACACAATTCTGCTCGGCTCCTTCCAAAAAAAATCAAGAGCCCAAGATACTAATTAGTCTTGAGGTAAAAGGCATAGGGAATGTGATAAAACCTAACAGTGTTATGTTTTGAATGAACTAAAACCCACAGTAAGATATGATATGTTTAAAACAAGTTAGCAAAATTTCTGTCATCTATAATATTTAATTCCATTTAATTTGCCACTGATCATGGCTCAAAAATTTTCTCGAGACGTTCCAATTTTCAAAAATTTGCCGAGGAGGCCTCCCAGTTCCCCCTTAGCCCAAATTCTATATCCCCCTGTGCCTCCTCCCACAGAAAATTCCTCGTTCCGCCCATGTAAGGGACACCCTAGGGAGGGGGAGAGATTTGACAAAGTCATTAATATTTTTCCTTCAGATTTTCAGACACTTTTAATGTAATTACAAAGAAAATCCTCTAATAAATTAGAAGAGCAATATTGACAAAATTTCCCAGAAATTTGTGATTTTCTAAAGGAAATTTGGCATCGTCTGAAGGCTCACACGGCGGTTTTCCTTGGCAGTGTTAAGCGGTATTTTCAGGGACGGTCTTTTTAACGGCAATTTGACACCGGTGGCTTTGATTTCGTTAAGTTATTATTTGGCCCACTACACTCATCTGTCTGACCGATTCAGTGCAGTGCAGTGGCTCGACGTTCGCGTTGATATCGCGTCGCGCCGATAGCGATAGACGCGATCTATGCATGGGATTTCTGATTCCCCTGATTGCCGCGCGCCGCGACGACACCTATTTCTGTCCCCCACCAGAAACTCTGTCCATTCAAGAGTTGGCGCGCAACCCATTCCGCGGGCCGCCGTATAGTCCAGGCGCCTGGTAAGTCTACCTGGAATTTTGGGTACACAGCGATTTTTTTGGCCTACTTTATGTTTTTTGGGTCGCTGAATCCGAATCTGAAGTTTCCGCAGGCGTATCTGGTGAGCATTTTCCGCTATTTTGAAAAAATGGCCTAAAAAGGCCTTTTTTTGCGGTTTTTTTGATATAGCGGCTACGGATGAGCAAAAGTCCCGGATTTAGCTAATGTTTTGAATAGCTGACATAATTTGGAAGAAAATGGTATATACATATGTTAGGTTTGCTTAAAAATTGAGGAAGATACAGCATCGTGAACATCGCGCCTATTCACGTTTTCGCGGCGCACCCGTCAACGCGCGATCCGGCTCGCCGCGGTCAGCCAAGTTCCGAAGCGTTCTAAAGTTCCGAAATCCGAGGTTCCTCAATTTTTGAGCAAACCTAGCATATNTATTCGCTTATTCTGTAATTCAAAGTCTTGTACCCTCTTTTGCCTACGGCTGAGGGGGCCTTATTCTTTTCTCAGTATTTTATGAATTTTTGCTGATCTTCCTCTATTTGTTATTATTTCTACTTCTTCATCGTATATTACTGATGCATTGTTCTTTTTTGCTTGTTATTTTTGTACATCTTCTATTTTCTTATGCTTAAGAGTCTTCCCAAAAAAAAAACAATAATAATATTTATTCTGTATATGAAGCCATAGGGCTGTAATACAAGGTCACATACACAGCACATTACATACATACATAATAGACATAAAAAAAAATCCTGAACTGGGTAATTAAAAAACTTATTCAATGAGTGATGAGGCCTTTCCTGTAGGCTTTTTTTTTTAATTTCCCCAGGAGCACTACGCCTCCCTCTTCCTAAAAGGCCTTCCGTAATGGAGGAGATAAGTTGTTAAATATTTCCACTGATTTTTGGTTATACGCTTTGCCTTCTCTGCTTGTAGCTGTTTTCTTCAGATCGAAAATGTGTCTCGTATTATAATCATGCGCTGGTTGCATGTGAGACTTAAAACCCCGCTTTCAATGGCATATTTTACATATATAAATGTACAAATTAAGAACAGTCAAAATCTTATCTTTCACGAACAGCTGAATCAAAATTTTAATACATGAGTAACTACAGTAAGACCTCGATTTAACGGATTTCACGGGACCGGAGGCCGAATCCGTTAAATTGCAGAATCCGCTAAATCGCGCTAGTCGGTCCAGCTGAAGGGACCGGAGGATCGATCCGTTAAATCGCGATTCGATAATTCGAGGTCTTACTGTAAATGGAAAATAAGTAAATTTGTCTCTAAATACTTCTCCAAATTAAAAAATAATGAATGAATAAAAATAAAAATTAAAATAGAAATCAAAAAGGTAAAAATGAATTTAATCAAAATACTTCTGTTTCAAACTGGTAGTGTGAAAGGCAGAAAAGTCTCGTCCTGTGACCTTTGTGGTGGGTCCTCACACATCGTTCATTGATAAAATTGTCAAAAAAAATTGTCTGCTGGTTACAGCGCACATGGTTGTTAATCTTGGATGCAACAAATTCTGCAAAAACAAATTAGAAAAATTGTAAGTAAAAAGGTAACACGTTCATTAGACTGTCATCAATTTTTAAATTCATAAAGATGGATATGTCCTGTACCATTAACCATTCAAAATAATATTACTGCTTGGGGTGCACAACATCAGCGATAGATCGCAGCTATGCATAGGATCCGCTGCTCCTACACAGGATGAAATTTTCCCCTATAATATGTTACACACCATGTTTTGCCTTGTTCTGAACAAACGCTGATAGATACATCAAAATCTTTGACACTTTTGCTCTGAAGAACTGTAACTTGGTGGAATCAATGGAATGGCTATTTCTGTATTGAAAAATATGGTAATTTCTTTAAGGCTTTTTCAGGCGTTTCTAGGGACAGAAGATGAAATCAGATCAAAACCGAAGTTCGTACTCTAATTTGGGACAACAAAATAATCAATTTGCCATACTCTCAGCTAGATATTTGAAAAAATCCCTGTTGTTTCTAATGTACAATAAACTGTCTCATACAACAGATACAAAGCAAAAGCTCAACTGAGGGACCATGAATCTTTGTTTGCAGTATTGCAGATATTCGGTTATACCTACTTTATTTTTAAGTAGAAAAACTAATAAACTTCATTTTTTAAACATTTTTGCGGTTTTTCTTCTGTTTGAAGAATATATGTGTAAAGTCGCTCCTACAACGCACTCTGGCTATCTGCGACACCCAAACGCCACATATGCCTATCCTCCCAGAAGTTCGGGCAACTGACACCGCAACATCTCTTCATCAATGCCCTGCCGCCATTCCTTTACAGGACGTCCCCGTCGCCTCTTCTCATGTGGTGCCCAATTTAAAACTTGTTTGGGCAACCTCTCCTACGACATTTTTTTCACATGTCCATACCAGCACAACTGCTTGGACATGACATTATCTCACTGTATCTCTTTTAACCTTCATCACCTGGCGAATTCTTTCATTACTAACATGGTCTCGTCTCGAGATGTCGGCAGATTGCCGCCAAAAATCCATTTCAGTTGCCCTCAACATTTCTTGCGTTCGTTTCAAAGGCCACACTTCACTACCATAGGGCAAGATACTTTTAACAATGGCGTTATATATCCAGTGCTTGTTTGCCTTTGAAATGCTCTGACCCCAGAGCACCTTGTTCAGCATCGGGATGAATATTCGCAATGATAATGTGTTTGAAGAATATTCTGTAAAAATATTGAGCGATAAAGTTGACTTGTTTCCCATGAAGAAAGTAAAATAGGAGCAGAAATTTGGGAAGATCGCAATCGAGATACGTTGTTTCTCAACTTAGCAATCAAAATATGAGTCATAATTAAAGTAATACTCAAGGTACCATTGAAAAATTATTTCTGGTATTTGTCCATTTAGCAAACAGGAGCATACGTTCTCATCTTCATCTGGCTTATAAGGATCCATAAAACTAAAATTTATCCTCCTGGCATTATTGTGATCATCGACAACGAGTTCAGTTACACCTTCCCTGCCTGAATGGGTGTGATGGAGAAGACCCTAAAATGAGAGAGGAAAAGTTAGGGCAAATAGAATGGGGTGCAGAAGATAAATAAGTGGGAAAACACTTTCCAAGTGGGTGCTGCTTCCTATTTAGATAATTTCAGATGAGATTTTGACAAGAGTAATGTTACTTTGATTGAAATTAGATTGTGAAAATTTTTAAAAATTTCAGGTCAAGTTATAAAACATACTTCAGACTTATTTTAGACTCGAACCAACTTTTCCCACTGATCTGGTACCACTCCAAAATTTTGACTGCGATCAGCCTTTTTTAGGGGTGAACATGTCGGCCAACCATTGCTAACATTGACGTAGTTCTGCGGTCTGATTATTGAAATTTATAGACTAAGCTAAGAGAAAATGGAGGGATCCTATTGGTGAAAGTGGGTGATTGCAATGGAAAAATGAGGTAAGAAAAAGACTAATACTGCCGTGCTAAGGAAAAACCCCGTATGAACCTTCAGACATTGCCGAATTTCCTTTGAGAAAATGCAAATGTCCTGATGAATTTATGAATATTTTCCTTCCAATTTTTTGGATAATTTGGTTCACAATTTTATCGAAAGATTCTGAAAGTATAAAGGAAAAATGTTCATAACCTTCCTAAAAAATAAACATTTTATCTGGGGAAATTCGGCAATTCTCGAATATTCATACAGCTTTCTTCCTTAGCACGGCAGAATAGCAACCCATGAGAGACCCTTTAGTTAATCCATCATTTTCCCCCTTTGCCTTAGTTCATGAAGACCGCCCATTTCAACTAATAGGAGCATTCCATTTTCCCTCTTTTTCCTTGTCAATCAATTTCAATAATCAGCTTACTGACATTGGCAGTAACATATCAACGGGTGAAACTATGAAAAAGCATAGCTCAATTGCAGGATTTGACAATTTTCTTTTGAACTATGTGTGGTTTTTTTTTAAAGAGAGAATTTCAAAACATTCTTGTTAAAAGCATTTGAAGGATATTCTTGATTAGTTAAAGAGGAATCACAAGCAGCTAAGAGCAAGACTGAGAATAAGTCATCTCTCAAAAAAAGTGAAAAGGACGGTTTTGATCAAACGGCAAAACGAAAGACTGAAGTATGCAATTTCATGATGTCACCATCGATTTTTATGAGGAGGCCATAGTTAGAGCGACTTGCTTGCATTGCGGAATTCACCATAAAGCGTTCACATTCTTTTATTCATTCACAGGAGCATACTTCATGATTAAGATTTCAGGAAATGTTTGTTAAAGCACAAGGAAAATTTGCGACTTTGTGTGAATATATAATTTTGAAATGTAACTTCGCAACATTGTGGGGCACTAAAGGCCTTTTGGCAGTGACCCCCTCATACCTATTATGTAAATTTCAAGAAAGTTTTCTTTTGAGAATTAAGAGAAAATATTGTCATGATTTGCTTACATTGCTGTTTATGAGGACAGAGTAAAATATGCCAGCCATTAAAGGGATGGAAGTCTTCAGTATAATCCCGCAAACGTTGAAATGACGATTCCCTTTAATCTTTTTCTTGAGAAGTTCAGTGTAAATTAATTCATCATTTTCATACAAACGTAGATTCCAACTTATTTCTGCAAAATGTTGTCTATCAGCGAAAAGGCCAAAACCCAACAACTTTACATCATCACTGACAGAAAATCTGAAAAATTAGAAACAAATAGCAAAAGGGGAATAAGTCTGGAAAAATGACCAAACTCAAAAATAGCCTATAACCTCCTACATTGGAAGTCAAAAAAGATGTCAATGTAAGTCTTCTTCGCTATGCTAAAAAGAACTATGTGCATAGGGCTTGTATGCAGCATACTTCCTTTTGGCATGAAAACGACCAAATTAGGAAGTTGAGAACCAAGTCTGTTATTTTCGTTGCAGTATATTTTTGTAAAAGCAATAATTTATTGACACTGTTTTCTAAGTTGAAAAATGGCCATTCTAGAGCCTAAAGACAAAGGTGAGAGTGTGACATTATTTCATGCAAAAGAGGAATATTACATTCTGAATTTTGATTACATTAAAAAAGCTGATTTTGATGGTGAAGTAACTTCGTGTGTGATCCGCTTTCAATTAATTTATTTATTAATTAATTTATTAAGCATAGAAAATGCACAATCCTAGTATGCAATGCTAGAAATTTCCTTCTGCAAAATCTAGTCCACATGATCCAAAAGTTTCTTACCCTATGCCAAAATCTTCTTTACAACCCCATAGGCCTCCAAATGATTGAAATCTCCTGGCAATCAATGATTGTTTGGGGGAACAAGGAGTCCGAGGAGAGCGGTTGTACATTAAAGAAGCTTTCGGACAACCAGAGAAGTAATAAAACATTTCTACAAGCTCCCGATCATTTAATAAACCAGATTCGGCGACTAAGGTTGTAAATTCTTTTTGAGTCATGAGAGGAAAACGTATGAACGGTAATGCTCCTTCTAACAGTGATCTTTGGTTTTCCCTTGTGACCTCCAAACCTTTCCTGCCGCATTCTGCTGCTGCCCACCTGTGAAAATTCAATTTCAGAAGCTTCCAATAAAAGTGAAATGTAAATTCTAAACAAAATAATTCATCATGAAAATTATAATGAAAGGAAATTGAGAATTTATCTTGAGCGAATTCATGGATTGAAAATTAAAAAAACTAATTTATGAACCTGACTTATTCCTGCTGTAGGCAAAGCCTCACTGAAAATTTTCACACAAAGTGAACACATTCAACATAGTCTGAATTTCAAATTCCATCTTGCAAGAAAAACTTGAAACTTTGAACAGCTTTGATTTGGCTATCAAAGAAATATTAAAAAAAGAGAAAGTTATCAAATAGATTTCATATGATTAATACCCTGTTGAGATCTCAAGCTGTGAAATTTAGAGTTTATTTTGTAAAGATTTGATTCCTGAAAAATTTGCTTTTAGGAACTAAATTATATTCTGAGGGCTAACGAAAAATACTGCCTAACTGACAGTTTTAGCAAAAATGACTTAGCAACTTTGTTGCATTCTACAGTATGAGATACGCAAGCTGATGATTTTGGTTTTTTCCAATTCTAGGTGAGCCCTTCAATGATGCTGAAATGTATGAAAAAATAACAGATCTAACCTTAAAATCACAAAAGTGGCGAAGTTTTCTCATCGTTCTAAAAAATCATCAAATTGCAGATAGGCGGTACTGTTTGTTAGTCATCAATTTGTTTTCTCTACATTTTCTCACTTACATTTGCATTTATGAAATGAATCGCACTTGTGCAGGTTGATATATAAACTAATGATAATAAATACTTGGGATCATGTTAATCTTCCTTCCTCCCTTGTGTTGAAAAGTGATGTAAAATAAAATTATAACTACCCTTTAATTAATTTAATACAATTTTGAATTATAGTGAATGAATTTTACAAAGTGTTCAATTTGAGTAGAGTGAAAGAGTCATAATTGGGGGATACAAACCTAACAACGGCATCAAATAAAGTCGTTTCCTTCACTTTCACTGTATCTCGCTTCAAGAGTTCGCATAGAGTAGGAAAATCAATTGCCAGGAAATCTTCAAATGACAGAGCTTCCTCTGCATTCTTGTCAATCATTTTTAGACAAGACTCTGCCAAACTATCTTCACTTAGTAGTTTTGCCTGAATAAAAGTGAGCATAAGATTAATCTTCCACTTTTAAAGGGCTGGTGGCCTGGTCCCTTCTCCTGTTACTCGCTCATGACTGCAAAGGAGTGGGGTTTTGGGCGGCCCGTTTTGGGCACGCAGTAGTTGCCGGGACTTGAGTTCCTCCTTGCTTTTGAAGCAAAAAAAAAAAAAATCATTCTCCATTTAAAAGAGTGGATTCCAATTTGAAGCTTAAGGTAATCAGAATCCAATTTAATTCTTTTCTTATTTGACGGAGTGGCTTTCAAATTGTACCGCAGAATGGGCCAAAACCTGCTTTCCAAAAAATTGTAGATGGAGATCACTTCAAAGCCTACCAATCAAGCCTAATTCGAAATTGAAAAAAAAAATGTTTTTCAATCTAGTTCTGTTGCCCCTAAGGAGGTATGAAAACAACTCCCAACCAAATAATTTTTGTAAGTGCCATCTTCATCTGCTATGAATAAAATCTGTAAGGAACAAAGCCCTAATTTTTAGCATGTTACCCATGTCAGTCACAGGATTTAGTGATGTGATAATTGCTGTGCACACAATGAATATCATGCTTTTAAACTTTGCTATTAGCTCCAGGGAGACACAAAAACATCCCCTTGCAAACTAATTGTTACATCCTCTCAACGCCTCATGCATAGGGTCTCAAAAAATAAAAAATCTCATTTCTTAGATGCTTGCCAAGTTGGGAAGATATAATAGCAAAAATTCATGATATTCCAACAAAATTGAGTTATTCTGCTCAACAATTAGCTCACTGAGAGGAAATAACGCCCCATATTAAAACAAATAAATATGTTCTCTTGATTTGTAATAGAAATGGTCCATAAAATTCAAAAGCTGACTTTTGTGTGTTTTCTAGGTTCCTTAGAACTCAATGAAATAGGCAGTTTGAATGGCAGTAACCACTGTGCTTGTAGCATTTCAAAGGGCACAAGAATTATTTTGATCCAAAAACTGATTAGCATGTCTTAAAGTACTACTACATGTGAGTTTAGACTCCAACAATAAGGACTTCGGCCGATTACTATCATGCTTGACAAGTACAGTTGAATCAGCAGAGAATGAATGGATTACAATGATAATTTTTCATAAACTCGAAGGGCACAAGCTCATTTTTTTTTTTAAGCCCTTTGGTAGACTTTAAAGTGATGCCAATATGCAATTTTGGCATCCCTTTAAAGTCTACCAGAGGGCTTTAAAAAAGCATCTTGTGGTGCTTGAATAATTATCCTGTCCTATGGCAGATTCTTCCACTAAGACTAACCATATAACTGGGAAAAAATTCCTTACATACTCCATTACATCAAGCAGAGGACCATTTGAACTGAAGAATCCTCGGAGAGAGATTTATTAATACAGTAAAAAATTACTTACTGCTGGTCAAAATGTCAAAGCACTCTCTACATACCATAATTTTAAGATGAAGGATGGCTGGTCTACAACTTCCGTTCAAGATAGTGAGTTTTCGATCCAGCTGTCAGACCTCCACATAACTTTTATTTCCTGTACACTAAAGTTAGGAAGATCTGAAGAGGTTTCATTGATTTCAGATACTTTAGAAATTGCCACATTGAAGTTAACTGGAAAATTGACTTTCACCATACAGAGTAAGAGCAAAATCAAAATTGAGCATTTCTAGCTAATAATAAAAAATTACATATGAGTAGATATTGAATTACTTACCTGCATTAGTAGAGTAAAAGCATTGTTGCTACATAAATTTTTCTTCAGGAACTGAGAGCAACGCATTTCAAGAATACAGATTTCATACTTTTTAGCCGCATACAATACTTGTAGCACTACTTCAGCTGTTAACAGTACATCATCAGTGTAAATATACCTAAAAGAAATAAGATTAGAGCCAAAGATCATATGGAACACTGGCGAACAAATAGAATGTAAATTAAACATAGCATTACATAATTTTCCTTCACAATTTTATGAAAAAAAAATAAGTACAGTAATAACTCCATTATCAACTTATCATTTCTGGTGAGACAATGGAGCAAGTTTACACATTATTTTCTTGATTTCTCTTGATTTTTTTTTTTTTTTTTTTTTTTTTTTTTTTTTTTTTTTCATTTTCTTCGAGTGTAGATATTAGTTGATTTCCACATTCTGGTCTTTGGATCTATAGACTCAAAGTTGATTTTTTTTCTTATATTGTGGATACTTTTTAATATATGATATCATTAAATAATTTCCTTCTTCCGTTGCACTTAACTTTGAAAAGTAATTTCTTCCCTTCCACTTCTTTGATCAGAATGAAGTTCTGCACGGCTTTTAATTACCATGAGAGCTCCCTTCAAAATCACCTGAGATTTTTTTTTCTGCTCCTGCTCCCAGCTGAGAGAACTTCCTTATATGCATGAACTTTTTTCGTCTCATCAGAGTCAGAGTCAATAATAAAAGAGATATCACTCAAATTCTGTGAATGCAACATCCACCAGAACCTTTCCTTTCAACAGGAACGTGAAACAGAGGAATCTGCATCTTTCACTGTAGCTATAGAGGCACAACTCCAGTCACATCTGGGTGGATCTGAGTTGATCTTTTCTGACATGGTGCGTTGAAGAGAGGTTTAAATTTGAAAGTTTTTCTGAGGAAGGTCCCCTGGACTCCCCCCCCCCCCCCCCTCTGTCAAGAAAGTTCACCACCAAACCCCACTCCCAAATGAAGGGTTTGGAAGACAAGTCGCATAAGTGCAGTTTTTATTATTTTGAAAAAAACGAGTTCAAAGTTCTGGTGTTTACTGGGACCTAAAGCGTGCTCCGAACACCTTCAAAATTTACAAGTGTTATGTCTCACACCTCCATGAACGTTTTCTGAAATTTTCAGTTCAGTTAAGCCAAATTGAGGCCAGCAGTTCGGCTTAAGGTAACGGTAGGTCGCACTTATCCCGTGTTCCCTCTAAACAGAAATGCTCTAATCCCATTCACTGTTTTCTCCGCTTCAAATGACTTCCAAACCAAATCGCTTGGTATTCTAACAGACCTTATTTTCAACTACCAAAAACATGCACATCTCAATTTTGATCAGAGCCATGCTTCTGAGCACTTGATTTTACTTTTATGTATTTCCATCCTTCTATTTTTAACACAAAAAAACATGAAATGGTCTAGATTTCTGTTTCCCCTTCGCTTTTCCTTCCTGTTTTTATCTACAGTGCTTTTCGTGAGGTCCGGTCGTTTTCTTGTGCCTCACCTGTTGAAATACAAGCATAATGAGCTATGACACGCAGCTGGGGCGGCTGGGCTCTAATCTCTAGTCTCGAATTTCTACAACTGCACTTATGCGCCTTGTCTTCCAAGCCCCTCAAATGAAGGGTCCACACCGCAGGCTGCCCCTGGGGGCCTAAAAATTCTAAATCCAGCACTGCCACTTGCTGTCACTTAGATGTTTCGACTACCGGAGGACTTTTATAAGAAATGAACAAATGAACAGAAATACCTTGATGATAATTAAAAATACCTGAGTAAAATGGAAAATGCAGAAGATTCAACATCTGGCACCCTTATACTGGATTCAGCTGCCCAGTTCCCACTGAACATAGACTCAAAAACGCTACTCCCAGCAGAGAGCACGCTTCGATGTGCATGGAACGTTTCTGTCTGAGAGTCAGGGCCAACAACAAAAGAGATATCACAAAGCTTTTGTGAGTGCAACATCCACCACAATCTTTGTTTCGAACAACAGCGGGAAAAAGACGGATCCGGAAATATGACATCGTTGCTGCAGCCACACTTTGGCGGACTTGGCTCTTCTCTTCCTGACATTGTGTCTGATTAAAGCGCTTGCAAGCTGAATTCCTAGGGGAAATAGATGAACAAAGGCGGAACTGTAAACTTTTTCACTATTGTGAGGCTGAAACTGTATTTTGTGATAAGGAAGTTCTATTTCTGGCTCATCCATGAAAAATCACCTATCTGCATAGGAGAAGTAAGGGCATGTATGTTGTTTCTAAATGAGCCGAAGGTAGTAATTCCTAACTGCAAAATGAGGTCCAAATGTGCTGAAACCACATCTCAATGGACCACTGGGAAAGATGCGAATTCAAGCGTTGTGATGTTTCCTCCTCAAAAGAGGCTGTTGCATTTTCCTTAGGAAATGGTTGCAAGAGATTTTACATCCATACTTACTTTTAGGAATCATAACTGATCATCAGAGAGGCCTAAATCCGGTAGCCTTTCTCAACTAGCCGAAAAACTCAACAAACTGAATTTTATGGGCTTGAAAAATCAAACAATAATGATTTCACATTGAAAAATTACCAAAAACAGACTTTAATACACATAAGATGAAAGGTCTTGTTGAGAGCTTGCATTTGAGCTGAAGATCAAGTTGATTCATTATTTCGTTTGATAGTTATGGCGGCCGGTGCGTTTGACCTTTGACCCCCTCTCCCCTCGCCCACTGGAGGGCTAGACAAGAAAAGTGACCGGATTCAGGGCTCTCCGATGATCCGTTATGATTCCTGAAAGTATGGATGTAAAATCTCTTGCAGCCATATCCTATGGGAAATGGGACAGCCTCTTTAACATATAATAACATGATTCAAGCGATGAAAATTACTGAGATCAACTCCTAAAAAAGATACTAATGCCTTCATTCAGCACTGATCGCAAAACAAAATTGTATTTCCCGCTCACAAGAAAATCCAGAATCTACTTCTTAACATCAAATCGCTCACTGCGACGGTCTCAGCAGGCTTCTTAATCAACTGGTATTTTTTGTGTTGTTCAAAATGTAGATAATGTGCAAGGCTTAGCCAGAGTGCTGAGATGAAGGTTGCCACTTTTCATACCACAGAGACTGTTGCAGTAGGTAACGTTTATTGTGCAATTTATAACTCAAGTAGATAAAAGTTTACATGTGAGTGGGAAGTCTGAGTTTGCAAATGGAAAAATTTTGCTATCTTGGTCATCAGCTGCTTAATTTTAGTTGCTCTTATCGTGCTTCATGTGAAATTTTGAAGTGAAAACTTATATCATAAGTAATGTTTAAATGCAAACTTATCTGATACAAGTTCTGTGAGTCAAACTATGTAGGTATCTGAATTATAATGCAGGCAGAGAACATGATAAACGTCAATAGAGGATAAAATGGTTGTGAACATACAATACAGCTGAGAATCAATCAGGTGCGGGTGCAAAAATAAACCAGGGATCTCTATCACTCCCTGATGATAGTTGAGTCAAATCAAAGTGACTTTGGCATGAGAAAAACCACACTTTTTGGAAATGCGCTACATAATAGACGAAGCTACAGCTAAAGTCAGGAGCTTGCGTGACTGCTCATGGATTCCCTCAAGACAAATGCAAGATAAGGCGCACATACTAGAAAATTTTCTGCATCCCTGATGGTAACCAATAGCCAGTATCTATGGTATTGTCAAAAGTTTATGGTAAATTTTTTATGGTCGATTTCATCTTATTTTACCTTATTTTATCAAAAGCCTTTTACTTAATCTTATTTTATATCACAATATTAAATGAATGCTGCCATGCCGCCAAACAGGCCTCAGAGTTGGAATGAATATCAAGCATGTAGACAAACCTGCAAGAAAAGATGAAGGATAAATGACCAAGCTGCCGAACCACCAGGGTAACTGTAAAAATCCCTAGTTCTCTGGTGAACAAGAGCAATTAGCTTGAGCTTGGTGATTTCTGACCAGAGCAGTATTCAAACGCCTCTGGTATGACCCTTGACTCGCTCGGCCAATGAACAAAAGCGGTGGTGGTGTGATTCACTCGACAGAAAAGAGAGCAGTGGCTCCTTCAGTTTCGTTTTTAATAACTGAAACAGAATGCACAAGTGCTACATTAAAGTCAGATTAGACCATTGCCTACTGTTAGACAAGGACAAAGCTTAACTTACATTAATCGCATTTGGCGGAAAGAATCCAACTTGATTAAAGCATAAAAAAAATCAGGTAACTTCTTCTTCGCTTTGATAAATACTTAATGCCACAGGTAAAATAAAGTACTTAATTTCAACAATCGTCTTTGTAGGACCAATTTCCTCCAATTTTTCGGTAGAAAACCAAACTAATATGCCATCATGAGCATTAGGAGCAATAAGCAAGATAAGGCTACACAGTTTTAACAACACTGTAATCATATTGTTTCCTTACTTACTGCAGATACAATCCCGATCTGGATCATCCTTCAGCAATTACGGTTGGTCTCCTAGCTCACACATTGAATAAAAGTTATATACATGGTGTAGCGGAAGTCTTCATTAGCCATATCTGATACCAATTAATCAATTATGTACAATGGACCACTAGACAAGGTACGAATTTCAGCATTCTGATACATGTTTTTTAACTAAAATTTCACGTAGAACACGATGCGCACATAGAAAATTACCGAAATTAACTCCTTACTAAGATATTTGATGATTCTTGATGTGTGAATCCGAACCACCCGCTCATTAAAACTCAATGCTCTACGTGATTCACATCGCACGCTAAACGTTATCATGACAGTCTCTGCGATGTAAAAATCTGGCAACCTCAATCTTGACGCTTTGGCTCAGCTGTAGCAAATAGCTTATAGTTTGAACAACACATGGTGGAAAATGAACATTGCTCGATTGAGAGGCTTGCTGAAACCGTTATAATGCGCGATTTGACTCGCGTAGAGCTCTGAGTTTCTTGTGAGCGGGCAGTTCAAATTCCTTGTAGCCAATGTGAAATAAAAACGTTAATATCTTTGTTAGGAGTTGGTTTCAGTAATTTTCGTTGTAAGAATCGTGTTTTACGTGGAATTCTGATTAGGAAACATGTATCAGATTGCTTAAGTTCGTACCTTGTCTAGTGGTCCATTCTTGGAACTTTGATGGTCGCCAAGCTAACTTACCATGCCCCTTGCCAATTGCTGTCACACAAACTCACAAACACAAAAACGCAAACGCATAAGATATAAAATGATGGAATTGGTTGGAATGCCGGCTGGGTGCCTCAGAAAGAGATTGTTGTGTTGTTATGGCCCAAATGTTGTTGGCAGACTTTGCCTAGACTTTACGATTGATTGACCGCAAGTTGAAGTAATGCAATGGAGAAAATAAAAAAATGGGGAGCAATAGAGTTTACTATGAATTCAGAAATAGAAAATTCGACAAAGAAAATAGCGCTTTCCACTTTTTCCAACGGGTGACGGGGCGGAGGGGAGAGACTGAGGGAGACGAAATATAAATAATGTAACATAACCTCAATTCTCCATGCTTGCAAGCGAGCCAACCTACAGGTGCGTTGTCGAAGTCAACTTTCCGTTTGCGTTGGGCTTCTCAACGCTAACGGATATCACGTGACAGTTGACTTACCCGTTGGAAAACGCGTTGTTGGTCGTCTCTGTTGACTAAAAATTGTTGTGTTTTGAATGTGACACCGCGTGCACAATATCATTTAGAGGTTAGCTCAACGCTCTCAACTACCTCCTGAGACCGATGACTTGTTGACTTCCGTTTGGTAAACAGTCCAGGACATCGGGCAATCCCAACGGAAGTCGAACAACGCCGAGCGTTGGGCATCGGGTAATTCCATTGCCCAACGCTCCTCAACAGTTGACTTCGACAACGCAGCTCATGTGCGGCATCTCTTCATTGAATTTATTCCGTCCGCGATACCTCAGTGCCTCATTCATTAATCATCACTGTCGGCAAGCCGTTGTCCTCTCAGATTGTTGTTAGTTTTTGCTATCTGCACCATTCACATTTCATTTCTTAAGTTCTGAAATCAAGAAGTTTCGGGAGACGGTTCTGGACGTAGGTCAGGTAGGTATGCAATCTTCATGGCGTTAAAGTTTCACAATGTAGTTCACGTTTGATTAATCAATTGTACAAATGGCTTAGTTAGATGCTCTGTTCTATACCACTTATTTTTTAGGTGTAAAGCAGATTCTATAGCCATGTCTTACTGAAGTACAATCTGAAACTCCGTCAACGTCTGGCGACGAGTTTGCATACAAGTAATCGGCGGTGTAAGTCGGCAATCACATAACTCGTTTGCGGTGTCTGAATATCTCCGTCTCCATGTTAACTTTTTAAAGGAGAACAAATTGACATCATTCCTTGAAGTATATGCGGAATTTGCTTCGCACAGAGAAGAAAAATCACGGCAGTTTTAAAGAATTGCTGTTGAGTAGTTTTCCGTTTCAAAAATGAAGTATGACAGGAAGTCTGCGACGTCGCAAACCGAGTTATGTGTTTGCCGACTTACACCGTAATACAAGCTAGGCTTCTGAGTTTTTTGAACCAGAAGCCACAATTGTCAATGAGCTTTGAAGCTTTCTGATCATATGAGAAATAACATGCCCTTAGTGGACTGTCTTCTTCCATTATCATGCCTCACTGTGGTTGGCTCGCAAAAGTTTCTAGGGATATGTACCTATAATCTGCTGTCACTGCATAAACGAATAAACTGGAATGTAAAGTGTATATTATATTGACGGGGTAGCTACCACTAATCATAATTCCCTTTGGCAACCTAGCGATAGAGATTCATTTTTAGATTTTATTCACTCGTTGATTAATTTTCGAGTTTTTAAGTGAATAATCTACTTTATATCTGTTTCAAGTCTGTAACTGTCTTTAAGCTCATAACTTTTTCATGGTTTATTTTTCCCCAACAGGAATAAAGATTGTGAGCTCTGTAATCTGATACAATGTCAGGATCGATTAACTTGGACCCACCCAATTGTGATTGCAGTAGTGCCTCTATCGCTCAAGTGGAAGATGCACATTCGGATGTTGCACATTGTTGTTTGAAGCAAAGGTTCTGGTGGATGTTGCACTCACAGACTTTGAGTGATGTCTCTTTTATTGTTGGCTCTGACTCTGAGGCAAAAACATTCCATGCACATAAGAATGTTCTCTCAGCTGGGAGCAGTGTCTTTCGATCTATGTTCAGTGGGAACTGGGCAGCTGAATCGAGCATAAGAGTGCCAGATATTGCACCTTCTGCATTTTCCATTTTACTCAGGTATTTTCAATAATCATCAAGGTATTTCTGTTCATTTCTTATGATATTCCTCTGATGGTTGAAACAGCAAAGTGATGGTAAATGGAACCAACCTATCGAAAAAAGTCTACACCTATATGAACATACCAGCCGTAATTAGCTCGCTTTGCGACCTGACATGCCTAGCCGGGGAGTGCCCCTTAGATCCTCAAAATGAATTTTTCTACCATCGCAGGGATACTAGGAGGGTCTCCATTTGTATCTGATTCTATTCATTCACTGATTCGTGTATGAACTTGACTCCAATTTGATTTTGTTCAGGTTCATTTACACTGATGATGCTCCACTGACGGTTGAAATAGCAAGCCAAGTTTTGTATGCAGCCAAGAAATATGCAGTCTTTATCCTTGAAATGCAGTGCTCTGAGTTCCTTCAGAAGAACTTGTGCCCTAATAATGCTTTCACCATATTGGTGCAGGTAAATAATTCCACTTCTATTCGTTGTTACCTTGCTCTTTCAGGTAGACGTTCAATTTTGAATTTCCTTAGTTTTGTGAACGTTAATGTCAGTATCACAAATAGTTCATGCAGAACACAGAAAGCATACCAGTAATTTCTCAAACCAACCCTTAAGTGAAAAATTTGAATTTTTACTTATTACTAGAATCAGGTGGATGCAAGCTAGGCATTTGTCAGGGGATTCTCTGTACAAAATAAACATTAACCAATTTTTCACAAATGCATTAATTCTTCAAGTTTTCAATGTGACTCTTTTGAAATTTTGATCAAAGCACATGTATTAGAGAGCTCGAATAATTACAACCTCTAACCTTTACCAAGCCATTTTTTAATCAGTTAAACAATAAGTCCTGAGTGGTTCTATGAACCACTAGACATGGTGCAAATCTAGGCATCAAGATATATATTTTCTCATCAAATTTATCAAAGAACACAATTTTTACCATGAAATTTATTGAATGTTACTTTTAACCAAGATAGTAATGTTTTTTTTTTCTTTGTTTTTTTCTTTGTTTTTGTTTGTTTGTTTTTTTTGTTTTTTTTTGTTTTTTTTTTTTTTTTTTAACCGTGAGGTATAAAGTGGCGAATTTGCGCGCAAATATGACAATTTAAGCCCCCAATGCACATCAGCCCATTTAGGCCACACCGACACAGAGGTTTAGTTTTGGTCTGGGGTGACCTGCTAGGGGAACTATCATATGCCGGATTGGCTCGGAAGTTTAAAATAAAGGTTGGTATGAATTTTAGATTAAGAGCAAGGGGCGGGTCCGAGGTCGAGCCGACCTGACTAAACCTAACATCCTGACGTTAGTCTGTCTGCACGGTTACTGCAAGAATCTGTCCTGAGGGACATTGCGTCGGCTGCTGCAGCACATCGTCTATGCTGAAGAGGGGGCAACATAGGAGAGTTGCTGGTTGTTGGTAAATTAAGCTGAAAGGGTGTAGACGAAGCAGAATAAGATAACTGTTGATTGGGTTTTGAGCGAGCAATTTTTTGTTTGAGGATACTAGTTATGTATTGATGAATTATTTTCCTGTTATCTGGGGATTCAAGCATGAGTGGAACTATATTTCCAGGGATTTGATTAACGGCAAGGTCATATTCTAATTTAGATTTTAAAGTTGCAAAGTGGCGACAGGTAAAATGATTTTTGATACTTACATTTAAATTTCTTACTCGTGAAAAAACCATCATCTACTTGAGTTAAATTGCACACTAAATGTTACCGTAGGAATGCAATATATGAAATTATGGCAACCTCAAAATCAGCTCTCCATCTCAGTTGTTGAGTGTTGTTCTCTTTGAAAACAACACAGGTCAGGAAAGAGCACTGCTTGATTAAGAAACCAGCCAAAACCATTGTAGTGCGCAATTTGATTCACATTGTCTTTGGTTTTGCCTGTGAGCAGACAGTTCAAATTTTATGAAACTAGTGCTAAATAAAGAGTCTTCTTCAAGGACCCCTCCATAAAGGTGGATCTTGCTTAGAAGTTGATTTCAGTGATTTTTATTGAACGAATTGTGCCTTAATTAAATTTCGGAAAGGAAGCATCTATCAGAACACTTGAATTTGTACTTAGGCTAATGGTTCATTTAAAGGAGAATCCATCTGCGCAAGTGATAAAATGTATGAAAATGAAAGTTTATTACTTACAACTCGCAACACTGTTTGGATTCTGCTTCTAACAAAACATCTGGTTCTATTTCAGGCGAAATCATTAAGCGAAAAGAGTTTGGCAGAGTCTTGTCTGGATATTATAGATGAAACTGCAGAGGTTGCTATGTCATGTGAAGATTTTCTTGAAATTGATTTTCCTACTCTATGCGAAGTCTTGAAGCGAGATACCATAAAAGTGAAGGAGACAGCTTTATTTGATGCTGCTGTTAGGTTTGTTTGTTTTTTTTATATCAAGATTCTTTAACTCAGAGGTTCAGAAACTTCTGATCATGTGATTGTTAGGTGGCAGGTAAAAATTGGAAGGACCTGGAAAAGGTTCTTGAAAATAGGAAGGCCAACTTGCCAGCATTGAAATCGTTTTTCCTACAAAATCATAGCAATTCGTCATTGAAGGCCTGAAAAAGGTCACTAATTCTGAGTTTTTAAATGGACAGGTCAATTTGAGAAATGGAAAAGCTATGAATTCCCTGCATCTCTGCTTCAACTTTATTTGAATGAAAGAACATCTATGGCCCATCTGAACAGGGGTATTAACTCTCAAAGGTGCCTTAACTTGCTGACTGACAGGTGTTTTTTTTTTATTTGTTTCCGTTGTAAGTGTACAAATGAAATCTGTAAAAAATGAAAAAATAAAATAAAAAAATATACATAGTTGTTTCCTACCAGACTGATCACGGTCATACATTTCTGTCTGGCATTCACAACCAGCAACAATAAGGGACCACTTTTAATCAGCTGGTCTGCAGCAGAAGCTTTCATGCAGAGTCATATCGACAGTCATGGTAGTCTTCATTTTTAAAAGCCAGCCTTAGTTATGCTTAGTCATGTCAAGTGGTTAGCTGTCAGCCCCAATGCCTGGATTTGATTTTCTGAGGTTGTAAAATGCAAATCGGACTAGATTTTGCAATTAGGAACTACAATTTCGGGCTCAGTTCAAAAGGAAGGTATGAATCATTAGTTTTCCTATGCACATAAGTGTTTTTATGTATTTGAACATGGCGATGAAACCATAACACCAGTTAAGATTGAAGGGATTTGATTGTGAAAACACCACAGCATTGTGTTTCCACAATCAAATCCCTTCAAGTGTTTTGATGGATAAGCTAAAAATTGTAGTTCCGAATTGTAACATAAAGTCCAGTTCATCTAATTTGACAACCAAGAGTCGTGGCAGTGCGAGATTTACACCTGCATTTCTACAAAAGCAAGAGCTTGTGGGAGATGTATCACAGGACAAAATTTTGCCAAGTTGCCCTTGACCGTTTTTGTATCAGAGGTTATTTATGAAAGAGCCTTATTTTTCATTTTGATGTTTGGTGTTTCCGACACTGATGGGCGGCCCACATAGCTCTTTCATGTATTCTGGAGAAATATTTTAGCTGCGGGGTGTTAGAATCACAAAGTGCAAAAACTAGGAATCAACCATTTCAAGCTGCATGCAAGATACTGACAACAAGGAAACCACCATCATCAGCTTGACTCACAGAACTGAGTCTATCACCATTTTCAGCTTATTTTCGAATGTCATCACATCTGCCTCAGAAGTAACTCAGATGTGAGGAAATTTTAGGGCTCCAAATTTTTGGAGGCTGCAACTCCATTCAATTTGTCATACCTCACAAATCACAGCATGTAATACATTTCCCCAAACGCTCATCTTTTTGAAACCACATGTTCAAAACATGTTTTGCTGCAACTCTTTGTTATATAATAGGTCTGTTGCACTATTTTTTTTTATTGGTTGTATCAAAAGAACAAAGACTCTTGATGTCCCAGGAATTTTTGACCACTGGAAACCCCCAAGAAATCAACTTAAAAAGCGTCCCGATTTTCGGAGTTTCATAACTGTCACTTTTACGCAGGAACGAAGCCAGTACACAAGTGACATCACAGGACATGATAAACCTGGACTCTTCATCACTCACAATGTATTTTCTTTCATAAGGAATTGTCAATCGCTTTTCAAATGCAAATATGAAATCAACCAATGATTTTTTGACAAAAATAAATCTCAGAAATGGGAACCTAGGACGCTTAAATAGTTAAAACCCTTATTAGACAATCATGAACCGAAGGAATAAACCCTATTCTTAAGGAAAACTACCAGCGATGAGAGATTGATATGTTATTACCGTAATAGGGAATTTGCAGGTGTCTGAAATTTGATGAATTTTGTGTCTTTCTATTCTCTTCTTTGTTTTTTTAAATCTATTTTTATACTATGTGCCATATCAGAAAAAAACTATAAAAAATACTGTGAAATCAGCTGTTTAAGAACTTTCAGATAAAGCAATAAAAAATGTGCATGCAAATTCTCCATTGTTGCTGTTTTCCCATAAATGTAGGGTTTATTTCGTCGGTTTGTAATAATCCATTTAATGAGGATTTTAACCATTCAAACATCCGAGGCTCCATTTCTGAAATCTATTTGTATCAAAAAGTCATCAGTTAATTCAATATTTGCATTAAAAAAGGGACTGCCAATTCATTATGGAGAAATACATTGTGAGTGATGAAGAGACCTGGTTTGTCATGTACTGTGATGTCCCAAACGTACTGGATCTGTACTCAAGTAAAACTGACCGTTTTGAATGGGTTGGTCCCCAAAACAACTTTTTTTTTTTAGTTTGAGAGGTGATTTCAAGATTTTTCAATAGCATCATCGTTCTTTTTGTGAAATTTGCCTACTGGAATTAGCTATCGATTCGAAAATTCCAGCACCTTGCAACAGGCCCATTCAGAATTTGCAGAAATGTTGGTATCATGATCCCTTTTCATGTCCCCCCAAACTGTTTTGAAGACTCAAAAATTTGGGAATATATGGGGGCATCACCTCCTGATTGAACGGTGTTGGGTCTACAGTCTACACTGGACCTGAATCCTGTCTTTCACAGGATTCAGGCCGTATCTAGGTGGTTTTTTTCTCTCCTGATTGGATTTTGTCAAGTCATAAAAATATCTGCCTCAGAAGGATTTAGCCTGTTTTGCATATCGACGGTGAAACTACCAAACCACGTATCTCGGTTGCGGTGTTTAAAAATCTACGCTCACATTTTATTTTTTTAAAGTAGACCAAATCAATATCATTCCTTGAAATTTTCACAGAATTTTCTCCGCACGAAGAGGAAAAATCACAGAAATTTTTAAGACTGGACGTTCAGTAGTTTAGACGTTTAGTAGTTATTCATTTAAAAAATAAAGTATGACAGGAAGTCTGCGACGTCGCAAACCGAGATACGTGGTTTGGTAGTTTCACCGTCGATATGCTTTCTCTCTGCAGACTGATAGTTGAAACTACTTCTTGTCATATGGCATAAAAAGACATAGTCCTATCAGTACTAAGTATTCATGTATTGATTTTAGATACCATGTCGTGCGAACATAAGTTGCAACAGTCAGTCCGCTAGAAAGACTCTGCAGAGAAGATTTCGCCGACTTCTACACAGAAATCCCAAACTTATTTGCGTCCATTATTTTTTGAATTCCTGTATTTCAAAATTGTTATTCAGTCTTCTTATATAAAGAAAATTATTTCTAGATGGGCCACAGCTGAATGCAGCAGAAAAGGTCTGGAGGTCACAAGGGAAAACCAAAGATCACTGTTAGAAGGAGCATTATCGTTGATACGTTATCCTCTCATGACTCAAAAAGAATTTACAACCTCAGTTGCTGAATCTGGAATTATAAATAATCAGGATGTTTTGGATATGTATTATTATTTCTCAGGTTGCTCAAAAGCTTCTTTTAAGTACAACACTACTCCTCGTTCTTCAAAAGAGCCATTGATAGCAAGCAGATTTGAATCCATTAGTAAAGATTTTATGATGTATTCACGTACCTATCAAAGCTTAAGGTGAGTGCTCTTTTGATTATATAGTGTATTATATGAGGTTCCTAGGATCAAAACCTGCAATTCCCATTGCTCTGTCTAAAAATTTTGCAATCATTTTAATCTATTATGAAGAGACATATGTATTCGCTACGTACTGGAATGCCGTTAAAGTCAATGCCAGAACAGTGCATTTCTAGACTCTTGTTCGCCGAAAGTGTGAACCAAACGCCATTTCATAACACGGCGGCTCATTGATAAATTGCAGGCTGCGAATGGTTTTTGGGATTTATTAATTTAAGTCGATAATATTTTCAAGAATTTTAGCAAATTATGTTAACCCAGGTTACAGCAACTTCCAAAATGTACGAAACTCCATATTTTTATGAAATAAATTTTATACCTTTATTTTCTGAGCAAAATCTGGAGCTGGAACCGCGGGCATATGACATCATTAGTCGTGGCACACTAGTCCCAGAGGCACTGGACGAAAGAGCCCTAAAAAGTGTCTTCTTCAGCGCTTCAGTACATAGTGACTCTATTGTACTCTATGTAAAGTGAGCAGATGAGTTTCTACTCGCCTACTTTCTTTAAAATCTTCTGACAGTATATTATGAAAAATGTATGACTGTATATTACGCACAAAGTCTTATAGACTACTTCTTTCAAGAAATTAATACATTTGCCAAATTTTTACATTTCGCAAAGGAGATTGTAGGTTTTGATACTTGGCCCTTCACGTAGTCTATTAGAAAGAGATTCCCTGAGACGAGTGAAACGATGCGTCAAGTTGTTTGACAAGTTCTCTGCCCAATGTGCTCTATAGTGAGGATAGGGAGCACTCCGGTGAAGGGCTGGTCAGGGGGCCTGAAGAGCAGCTCGACGCACCATCTGAACACGCCTTAAGTGTCATCAAAATTGCAAGAGGGAAGATTCTTCCTTTCATAGCATGACGCAACAGCATGCTCTTACTTTCATCTTGGGATTCTAGGTTGCCAGTATTTGTTTTGAAAATCGCACATAAATATAAAAATAATTAAATTCGCCCAATCAGAATTTTGGATAATTTAAAGAAAATCATTGAACAAAAAATGTATACAAATGTTAGATTCCATTTATAGAATAGGAAGTTAAATGAGAGAAAAGCGTTTTTAATCCCCAACTATGAAAGTAGAGACAAAACTGACTGAGTGAGGTCAGAGGGTTCTTCACTTGCCGATGCCGAAATGAATGTATAGAAGATGCTTTTAAAACAGAGCCCATGGTATCAGCTCTAATTGAGGACTTTCTCGGTAAAAGAGCTTATGAGGCATGCAATGCTGCCAAGATTCCTATTGTAGCATCTCATTAGTAATTTTTTTTTTTATCAGTGATTCCGCTCTTCTGTCTAGAATTATACACATTGTTCTGAAAGGTAATTACGAGGAGGAACACAAAAAAAAAACCAGAATTTTGTTGTAACTTGGCAACGATGGAAAATATTCGGGTTCCACTCCTAGGACATTTAACTAGGAGCTATGAAGAGTCACTAGGCCAAATTTCATCGTCGTGGCACATTTCCTTTTATTTTGGCGAGATTTGGTTTAAGGGGTTGTCTGGCGAGTTCGTCGTTTTTGAAGATTGGTCAATTTCAGTAATAACTTTTAGCGCTCAAGTTTTTCTCTTTTACTCAATAAAAACACGACTTTCTCTGTTGATCTTTTGAAGTACTCTTTCAGGGTGTCTAGCATCAGATAAAACCGGAAAATATCAGGAATTTTGGCCGATCAGGAAAAAATCAGGAAAATCGGAAAAATCGGACGTTATATCAGGAATTTTTCTTAAGCGAATCTCCTCAGCGGAGAAAATCTTACTGCTTTTTGCCTGCCGTGCCAGGAGTCGAGAAAAATCAGGAAAATATGAAAGATTTTCAAAATGAAAAAATCAGGAATTTTTTATAAAATATCAGGAAGAATCAGGAAAATATCAGGATTTTTCAAAATTAAAAAATACTAGGCACCCTGTCTTTGAAGGACAAGCCTCAGCAAAAACTTTAGTGTAAGTACTGTTTTTCGCTTTAAAAATGGTGTTTCGCCATACAGGGGTATCGCCCGAAACCCCTTAATGCCTATCATCGCCATTGGATAGAACCGATGCCAATAATGAAAAAAATTGCATTTTTGTGAATGAAGGTGGTTCTTAATCATTTAATTAACTAGCAGATATCACTTGTATGTAATACAGAAATATTCAAAACATTGCTGTAAAAAATTTGGGCCTAAAACGCGTTGTTGCCGAATTGATCCCCCATTTAGCGATCTAGCCGGTAACTGCCACTGGGCGTCCAGCCGAAGTTTGAACGATAAATCACTATAAAACGAAGAAAAACATTTTTTCACTCATGTCATGAGTGAAAGTAGTTCCTTGCAAGATTCACTCCAAAAATTGACAGAGTTAGCGGCGCATTGCCCATGAAAATCACCCATCTTCAGAAACAACGAACTCGCCAGACGACCCCTTAAACGAAGTCTCGCCAAAAAAAAAAGAAAATATGCTACGATGTTGAAATTTGGCCTAGTGACTCTTCATAGCCTCTAATCACATCTTTTAGCTGTAGAACCCGAATATTTTTCACCGTTGCCAAGGCACAGGCAGATTCCGGGTTTTTTTGGGTCCCTCCTCATATTTGTGATTGAGGAGATTTTCTGTTTCCAAGCAGGCCAGAGAGATTACCACAGATGTAAAGGATCAAAATTATCTGAGTGATTAGAGCGTCTTGCAAAGCGTCTACACATATCTCAACACCCTAAATAAGAGATAGATTGGAGCAAAAAGCTTGGTCTGCCACTGCTCATAATAATGCAAATAGTTATGGAAAATTACTAAGATAGCAGGATGATATAGGATGATATTTTTTTAAATCAAATACAAAGGGATTACAATAGGTTTATCTCTTAAAAAATTTCAGGTGAGCCGCGCCGCCCCCCCTCCCCCCCCCCTTCCCGATCATTACAGCTTTCTCTGTCACCAAAACCTTGCCCTTGATGTGAAAGAACACTTTAGGGGGACCAGTTTCCACAAGCAAAAAAGTTGGCCCAAGTCAATAAATGTTCTTGAATTTGCCGCTGCATTGAAAAAAATTCTCCCAGAAGATAAGGTCCCTTTTTTTAGGAATATCCTACGCATTTCCTAATTTCTCTGTCTTCAGATTTTCCTTCAGTGAAAATGTAAAGTTGCTGGGTTTTGGCCTTTACACTTGTGGCAGAGTTGAAAACTTCAATTTACTTCTGTTTCTGTTTGAAAATTCAAAACTAATTCATAAAGAGGAGTCTGTGCAGTTTGTGACAACTGGGCATGAAATACATCGACATTATCTGAAAACTGCCATCCCTGCTACGGCTGACGTGCGCTACTGCATCCTCATTCGAAGCAAAGTAAGAAAATCATACCTACTATGAATAATTCATATTATCTGTGGTTCCTATTTCAAAGATAAAATGTTTTTGACAAGATTTTTTTGAATTTTCAAAAAGTCTGGGTTTATTAAGGCCTTTGATATTGATAAGGTAAGACTAAATGACATAACTAGCAATGAAGCAATGTCATAGATGTATGCAATATCAGCATCTACATCTTCTCATCGATGACTGAAGTGCGAAATCATATATCTTTATTTGCAACTTTGCACTTCCTGTCATATTTTACTATTTGTCTGGAAAATTAGTCAACATAGTTTCCTGAGGACTTTCTTGATTTTTCTTCTTTGTTATTAGAATATTCTGTATAAATTTCAAGGTATAAACTTGGCTTGTTTCACTATGAAAAAATCAAATAGGAGTGAATATTTTGAAACACCGCAACAATTTCGCATTTTAGCCATTGATATTTTCAAGGGCACCTTCAAAGGATTAGTCCAACACTGGAAAGTAATACAACTAATCCAACAAACAAGAGAAAATAAGTAAGTAGCAAAGTAAAACTAACAGTAAGTAAAGAGTGATAAGTTAACACATACTATTTCTTATTATTCTAATCCACTGTCTCATCACTCTAGTCAGTAGCCCAGAAATTGATTGAACCCCAATCTTTTCAAAAAAAATTCTCTCTCTATCCCCTTCTCTCCCTCCCCTCTTCTTCTCCTTTCCTCTCAATGTCATTGAGATTCTTAAGTATCAATGACTGCTGTATTCCCTTAGAGGGGAAAAGTCATTAATTTTAAAGTGTGAGAACTTTAAACAAATTTCTTAAAATGTGTGAAGCTGGAAACAATTAGGTATGTGAAATACTTTTTTGCCTTTTGTGAAGTTTTCATCGGCCAATTCTAGTGGATTCTTAAACTGGGACAAGTGACCTCAAGAATCAGCTTACCAATTTTATTTCTTTACTAGCTGTTCTGGATGCGTGCCCTCGTCCATCACAGCTAGCCAAGGGGCTGCGCCCCCTGGACCTTCGCTCACTAGTGGTGCAAGTGACATTCGGCACACTCCATGAGTCATTTTCTAAGTAGTTGGACTTTTGATCACTGAGATGTATACATTTTGGAGACGCTCAAGACAAAAATGATTTTGTCACAGAATCTTGTTACCGGAGCGTGCCATCATTTGCTTATTAGTAAATATATGGAGATGAAACAATGATGGGGATCGATCATGTCTTCAAAAACACATTTGACTTGGCCGTCGGTCTCATTGGGTAGAGGAAAGTGACAGCCATGGATCTCCTTCTGCGATTTGACTCGCTGAAGTAGCAAAAGTTCATTTTTACTTCCTGAGAAGTTTATCGGTGGCTTAGGGGTCTAAAAACTGCTCGAAAGGATAGTATAGTTCGAGTTCCAAATCGCTACGAGCCCACTTGTGTTTTTTTCTTATACTTTCATTGCATACAAATTTCTCTAATGTTTTCATTTTATTCTCTCTGATTACATACGTAATTATATCCTCATTTCATTTCCTTTCCCTTTCATTTTTTCCTTTTTTGTAGCATCTGTGTCCATTTACAATTATTACTTTAAAATAGCTCTCTCTTGTATACAGTTGATTGATGCTTCAAATGGAGCCAATTTGTTTTAATGACATTTCTGGCTAAATCATGGGTTTTCCCAGGAAGGCAACCTCTCGCCCCTCTCAAACTCTACTGTTGCTAGATAAGTTGCTTTTTCAGCACTTTTTTCAATTCAAACCCATGTGAAATATTCACATGTATCTCACAATCTGGCAACCCCGCGAGTAAAATAGAAAAAGGTGGAATCCTTCCACTCGTATATTAACGATAATAATTTAAAAGCTATAAAACCTTTAAACATACTCCTTGGACCAAAACGTTCCTGAATTTTATAGAACTACAACATCAGACCAGTGGCAAATGTTGGTCTTAGTAAGTTTAGAATGAGCCCGAAGATCATCTCAAACCTTGACCTCAAAATTTGGTATTTTAATCAAAACAATGTTAATCTGATTAATATTTTACTTGAAAAATATACCTAATAGCGCTGGGTACTATTTTGTGAGGAAAGCAAGGCAAAAAAATTAAAGAATTTTACCACCTTCTTTCATATAGGATGTTAGAGTTTTTTAGCCAACGTGCATAAAAAGTTCAGCTTAAAGCTGATATCTCATTACAGAGGGAAAAAGCTCACACACAAGCACAATTTTCCCCCAAAGTGATATGCTGTTTGGAGCAACACAAATTACGTCCATTCAGGAAGGCAACTGCAGATG